GGACCTCGTAGCTCAAGCAGTTAGAGCGTTGGATGCGCTAAAGCTTTTCCCAGGGCGGTGATCTTTTGACGGGCGCATAAATCCCCGCGCAATTTCACTAACGGCGAGCTGTTTCAGCTGTATATTTGCAGACAGATAGGTGGGGGCTATGAGTTTCCGCCATAGGCACACTTCATACTACGGCCTGGGATGGGGAAAGAAGTGGGACGCAGTACTACGCTAGAAGGATAGATTTTGAAGACGAGCAGTTTAAATCATCTTTTTAATAAAAAAAAGCACGTTTTCAAACGGATTAATGTTAGTTATTAAATAGATTCCATCGTTTTATCTCCAGTCCCAGAAGGTTAGTGTTTAAAAACCATCGATAATTCCTAACAAGCCTATCTCATGCAACGTTGACCGAAAGCCCAAACGCTGTATGCAAAGGCAGAATTGTAATATTTATAACCGTGTAGTGTGATTGTAAAATATGTCAGTGGCGACATGATGCCAGTATCTAGATGAGCTTATTGCCCTTTTCCCTACAAAATAGAGATTAGGCAGAAGGAATTATTTCAATTCAGTTTTATTAAGGGAGAAATAGACGAGCACATTTGAAATTCGTTTTTATTTCAAGAAACTCCCAATTGGCTAAAATGAATTTACTATTGGTAATTTAAACATTATGATTTTTACTATTTGATCGAATCCCACCGAGGCCGCCGAATGTTTCACAATTTGGTCAATCGAATTTTTCACATCCGCTGACCCCCCTTCCGAAATTGATAATGGACATCGGTTGAGGAAGCAGTAGGCATGCCTTGGTCGTAAAGAGATGTAATGTAATACCACAGAGTACATCTTAAGACGGGTTTCACCCGTGCAGAGTTTTGTAAAATATTCTTTTTCGGTATCTATGTAGGAATGGCAACTGCTCTTACATTAGACCTTCGTAAATTGTTCTATTTCTCATAATGCCATCAGCAAGGGATAGCTTTTTCCCGTTGGCATGAATAAGTATGCCTTGTAGTTATCCAATGAATCCTAGATTGGTTGCTTTGAAATTCATGCTTGGGCAGTAGTCAGCTTACTGTGTCAGTATTGGTGGATTCCATAAGTTGCAGTAGGCTGGGTGGGTAAATCAACCCAAGTGTGCTTAAATTCACGACTGCGATGGAGCCTCAATAGTTCTGTTGACTAGAACGTTGGTTGCACTATAGCCTTTTTCATGCTGGCATGCCGCCGAGTTTCTCAAAACTGGGCCAAATGAATTGCTTAATACTGCTAAAACGCCTTTTTAAGGGTGATTATTGTGCAACATAATCGCAAGATACTTCAGTCACACCAAAATTTTCGCTTTCGAATCCAACTCTTTTTTACTCGCTTAAGCAGAATACATTATGCGAAAATGACTACTTAAATAATATAGTTTTCTTAAGTTTTTTAACTATTCCATAAATTCACATATATTTTGCAAAAATATTCTTAAAATGATTCCTTCTTGTACGCGTTTTGTAGCAGACCACGTCTTCAAGTTTTTTTACTCAGAGAAAGCATATCTTTCTGTTTAAGAAAAAAATTATACTTATGAGAATTTTTGTACCGTGAAATGTCCAATCAAATAGCATCGTATCCGTATATTTATTAATGGTCCTTATTGGGTATAAAACGTAGTTCACCCTTGCTGTAAAATTTTAGGGAATGTCATGGCAAACAGATTTAACATAGTAACGGACTGTACAATTTGTTAAATAACTGACAAATAAATCTTTTGTTGGGGTACGCAATTTTACGAAGACGTGATCTGCTACACAATAAGCACAAGAAAGGGTACTTTTAAAAATACTCTCTACAAAATGTTTTTTTGCAAATTTAAAAGTGCAAGGAAAATCCGTGAAAACAAGTTGGTATAGCCTAAGTAGCCATTTTCAGGCGACCAAACAGCGGTGCCTTAAAAGGTCGACCTTCTGTCGCGCCTGAACTATCTATGCGCGATGCTGTAGGATATAAAATAGCACAACCACACTCAATTCTTAATTAATTAATTAAATTAATTTTTCAATTCTCTTATAAAGAAATCGCATTTCTGTTAACATTTCATGGGCGTTATAAGAGGCTTAGGCGGTTGCGGTTAGCAGGAAGAAGTCAGCATGACAAGTATTGTTGACGAAAAAACCCGGAAGGTAAATGGTGGGTTTGAGTTGAAGGCTACACTGGATCAGTGGTCAACGGTCAATTCGTGTGCCCTGTCCGTGTGTGTTGTCCGTGATGGGGAGAAGAAGAGAGCGATGATTCGGGAATGCGTGAAGAGGGCGGACTGATGGGGATTGGAACTCTGACATGCAGTGGATGAGCTGAGAAGAAGTCAGCAACCGCATTCCTCAGTGAGAATGATTTATACGGCCCCCTAAACAGAACATGGGGACAGGAACCGTTCTCAATACCGGTGTCGTTCGTCAAATTTAAGGGAAAATAGGTTTATGATTAGGGTTACTGTTAGGTTGAGGGTTCGGTCTAAGGTTGACGTTAGGAGTAGTCATGGTCAAGTTTAGGGTAAAGGTAAGTTATTACTTAAGGTTTATGTGGGACTACGGTGTAAGTTTACACTAGGACTAGTTATTGGGAGGGTATGGCAGATTTGAAGAATCCAGTTGACCCCATTGTGAAGAAATCCATGAACGGGGTAGGATTCGAACCCACAGGAGCAGGGAGGGCCTTAGTACAGCCAACGCTCCACTGATTGAGCTAAGACCGCACGCCAAAAGCCTTGAATTTAAGTCTGTCCGTTGGCAGTAAGTTCATATTTCGCAGTGGTTGACGGGTTTCAAGCCAAATATACACGTACAATTTCGGTCTATGCCTATAGACTTTAAATATACTGATGTATACAGCGAACAGAAATTAATTTCACAGGAAATTAAAGAAATCTGAATTATTCTTTTGTTTGTTCCGCTTCTAAATAACTTATAAGCGGAACATAAAAAAGTATATTTCCACAGGCCTTACATTTAATGAGGCCTGTTTAACATTACCGTCACGGTTACATATATGGACACTTTGTTTATCCGCCATGTAGGCGATGCGGTAAAACAAATGCGATAAAATTTTTGTTGCTGCATTTTGTGCAAAAAAACTTCACAAGTTAATTAAAAATAATTTTTAAAGCGCAAATTGTTCCTTGTTTCTGCTTCTACTTGGCTTCACTTGCATCTGAACAATTTCGGAAAAAAATTTTCCAGTTCTGGAAGCAGTATCTTTTACACCTTTCTTTTACTTATTTTGGTGTTCCTCCATATCATAATGCACATTAACAAAAATTTGGTTCTGTCATACGTAATAGCATAGGAGCTTATTTCTATATGAGACTACTCCCACGTTCGCCAAAATTAATTCCCATTTCTCTTAACAAACTTAACTAAAATGGCGATTTTTCTAACTAAAAGGCTTTCCCAGGATTAAATCCACTCAATGAATCAAAATAATGTGACCAACTATATGCTGTGCTACCAAGTAAAATTTCATCATGAAAGTTGCACGATTTTTAGCCCATACTGTAAGTAATCCTTACGCATTCCCCTCTAACACGTGACTAAACCCAGTCCTTATGAAATTCTCACAGGACTTTCCCCTGCCTCCTTTCTTTAGGATAGCCCTCACGCCAGCGAGTATGCAAACGCACTTGCTGACGCCTCGTCGTGGATCGAAGAGGCTGTAAGACTCAGAGCCGATTGCCTGCTCTCCAAACGGGACACAAGGTGGGAATCGTCATTCGCAACAGTCGAACTGCCGATTGAAGTCCCTCGGGGCGATTGGTTCCATTCAGCGCATCTCCGAGTCTTCTCCACAATGGCTGGTTACCTTGAAGTTTCCGGACGGTGAACCATGCTATCTTGCCTCCTTTCAGTGGAGCTCCGCCCCAGACAAAGCACGAACACAAAACAGACGGTGTGGCGAGCAGCGAAGAGTTTTGATTGGCTGACCTGAAGAGTTGACCGAGTGCATTAACTTGGGTTTGCGCGGTCCGAGGTTGCCGTCTGCGCAGACGTCCAGACGCGGTAACGGCACGGTGCGCGGTCAGGTTCGTGGCAAAAGGGAGAACATGTCTAATGCTGATCATCTCACTCTGTGAAAATTAAGTTAGTCACCCGCTTTATATTCCCCTAAGCCTTACGCGATCGGTGATATTAGTTTAGATTTTAGTTTATTACTTAGTTTATTAGTCTAACTTCAGTTTTGGTGTAGTTTAGTTTTTAGTTTAGTTAGTTTTGTTAAGTTTAGCTTAGCTTAGTTAGTTTAGTATGCAGTAGTTATTTAAATATACATATATATACAGTTCTGCGAGTGCTGCAAGCAACACCGTCAAAGTCATACGAAAAGCCTTGTAGCTCGCACAGCGTTTACCCCACGGACGCACAATTGATATCACGTCAGAGGCACAATACATCTCAAAAGGAAAGCATATTTGGATTTATAAAGTATCATTTATTAAGCGAGCACTAATTAGTTTTATCGAAAACTGTGAAATCGAAAAAAAAGGCATGAACGAGAGGTCAATTATTTAAGTCCTTGTGCAAGTGACACCAGTGTAAGAAAAAGAGATAAAAGTACAAAATAAGGAAAATTAATAAATAATTAATAATAATAATAATAATAACATACTAATATTTCGTGGATTGTCCTTTAGCGTTCAAAACAGCCGTAAG